AGCAGCCTCCGCCACCGCGCCAACAACAACACGCCGTGGGGACCGGCTAAGAGAACACACTGCTTGCCAACGCTGGTATACCGGGAGCGACTGACGGCGTGACCCGCGCCGAATCAATCGGCTCTTTTCAGGGCCACACAGAATACCACAATCGGCCCTTCTCAGGGCCACACGCACACCTTGTATAATACCGCTGTAAATACATTGTATATATCGTTGGAACCGCACTCTTATTATTCAGAACGCCACTGCCGAGAAGAAACCTCGTAGAATTAAGTATTTATCGACGACGGCAGAGAGGCCGGAGGCGACGGCCGCTGCCGCTCTATAGATATAGGCGCGATACAACCGCCGCCCTAAAATAGAGCTATGAACTTTTGTTTCAATTTAATATTAGGTGTACAACTTTGCTTCCGCCGTTTTTTCCCCGAAATTCGAGGCTTTATTGCAGAGCTGGGATTTAGTTGCACATTTCGGCTTGATTTCGTTGGCGACGCTCACTGTTTCCTTCTTGCCGCGCATTCCCTAGCAACGAATCGTCGGATGCTTGTAAACAACGCACGTACCGCTTCATCTCAGGAGCGTTACTACTATTAACTATACTATACTATACGAATGGAACTGATGAATCTCCCTCAACTTAAATAATGAATTAAAACTTTCTTTTTAGAATAATTTTAAATTAATAATTGAAAATATTTTTATTATTAATATTAATAGTAATAATAATATAGTATTATTATTATTAATATATGTGTACATTATATAAATGATGAAAATACTATATTATTATTACTATTAATATTAATAATAAAAATATTTTTTCAATTATTAATTTTAAATTATTCTAAAAAGAAAGTTTTAATTCATTATTTAAGTTGAGGAAGATTCATTAGTTCCATTTGTATAGAATAGTTAATAGTAGGAACGCTCTTAAAATGAAGCAGTACGCGCATTGTTTACAAGCATCCGATGATTCGTTATTAGGCAATGCGCGGCAAGAGGGGAACAGTAGGCGTCGCCAATGAAATCGAGCCGAAATGTGCAACTAAATCCCAGCT